AAGCAGAAAAAATAGAAATTATTGGAACAGTTAAGTAAAGCTAGGTTATCAGCAATAGGGCACTGACCTGTAGCTTTTAATTCAAAATTATATCCAATATGATTCAATTCAATTTGATTTGTGAGGCTAGCCACAAATAAGTTTGTACTTCTGGGCATCACCACCAGTATTGGAGTGGAATTTTGTCTCTTTGGCCTCTGCTTTAGCAGAATCGAGTTACCTAGAATTGCTTAATGAGGTAAAAATAGAAAACAGAGGTTATCTAGCCACCAACTTATGTTGTCTTCTTCTTTCAATCCAATTAGGACTAAGGGATTAAAAATCTATTTTGGTTCTGTTTATGGATGTGAAACTTAAAAAATGCAAGTAGCGTATGAAGTAGAAGTTTAAAATAGAACAACTTCTTTGGAAAGCAAAGCACCAGAGTGATCAAGCAACAAAGACGTTTCTGTTTAGTGATCCAGTAATTCAATTATTGTCCTGTGGAAGCAAGTCAGAATGTGGGGAAACTCTTCAAGATGATTTTTATAAAGAAAAGTGTGTCAGAAGACCAAACATTCAACACGAAGAGAATGTTTAAATCAGCACTGACAACCAATGGGATGTTGGTCAGCTGTTAAATCTGACATTTATAAACTTATGATGTCTAATTTATAGTACTCACCAGTGAATATGAGGCAATAATAATCTATAATGATTTGGAATTTTAAAAATATGACAACTGTGTGGTAGAAGCATAACCTGTTCACTGTGGAGAGGGAGACAGGAGAAAAGCATGCTAGTGTTTCTTGAGTGGCAGCAAAGTAGCTGATACTCTATTTCTACCTTTCTCACATTCTAAATATACAATAGTTAACAAAATTATTATCACGGACTCTGTACCAAGCTGTGTGCACTCTAATAACATTTCTCCCCTCAGCAGCCTTTGGAGAAAGGTACCGTCCTCGGCTCATTTCAAAAGTAAAGGAGGGCCCAGCGGCGTGGCCTAGAGGCAAAGTCCTCGCCTTGAACGCGCTGGGATCCCACATGGGTGCCGGTTCTAATCCCAGCAGCTCCACTTCCCATCCAGCTCCCTGCTTGTGGCTTAGGAAGGCGGTCGAGGACGGCCCAATGCTTTGGGACCCTGCACTCATGTGGGATACCCGGAAGAAGTTCCTGGATCCTGGCTTTGGATCGGCATAGCATTGGCCGTTGCGCTCACTTGGGGAGTGAATCATCAGATGGAAGATCTTCCTCTCTGTCTCTCCTCCTCTCTGTATATCTGACTTTCCAATAAATAAATAAATCTTAAAAAAAAAAAAAAGTAAAGGAGGTGAGATGTGAGTGTTGTCAGGGCAGGTGAAGGAGTTTGTCCCACTCAGTGACATATTTCCCTGTAAAGCATGTACTGGACGCAGAGTTAGGAATTCGACTGCAGTACATACTGTTGAGTGAGTAGAGTATGGAATGAGCAGCATGGAGTTGTGAACCTGTTATTTTCTCACTCTGTGACTGAGTTTACATTGCCATGTCTTTTCCATCTTTGCACTAAGAAAACAGAACCTCCCACTTGCCTGATTGTGAACCTCTCTATATACCTGTAGTTCATGCATGTAAGCCTACAGTGTAACTACCATGAGCTAGAGACTAGTGTGGCTTTGTGAACAAAAGCACCTGGGCTTACAAATTAAACAGATCCAGTTAAAAAAAAAAATGGTGGATTTTCTTAAAAAAAATTAGTTATCTGTTTGAAAGGCAGAGCTGCACAGCTGGAGGTAACAAGGGAGAGGGAGCGAGATCTTCATCCTCTGGTTCACTCCCCAAATGGCTGCAATGGGCAGAGCTGGGCAATCTGAAGCCATGGGTCTCCAGCTCCTTCCGTGTCTCTCACATGGATGCAGGGGCCCAGGGACTTGGGCCATCCTCTGTTGCTTTTCCAGATGCATTGGCAGGGAGCCAGATCGGTAGTAGAACAGCTGGGACTTGAACCAGTGCTCACATGGAATGCTGGCAGCACAGGTAGCAGCTTTACTAGCTCTGCCACTGTGCTAGCCCCGAGACCCGGGTTTAACTTCCCTGGGCACTCAACCTTCCTGAGCCTCAGTATGGGAATATGAAATGAGAACAGAATGTGAGCGTTGGGAGGAGTTCATGAGATTCTTCAAATAAGAGCAAGAGTGAAGTAACATTCAGTAAATGTTCTTTCTCTTTCTGCTGCACCTTAGCTCACCTGACTTAGCTAAAAAAATATTTTGTTTGTTTGAGAGACAGAAAGAGAAAGAAAGCTCCCATCTGCTGGCCTGCTCAATGCCTGCAATGGCCAGGTGTGGCCCAAGCGTTGGGAACTCAATCCAGTTGCCCTTGTAGGTGGCAAGAACTCACTTAGTTGAATCATTACCCATTTCTAGGGTGTGAATTAACAGGAAGCTGCACACAGGAACCAGAGCTGGCACTTGGGTTCATGCATTCCCCATACAGGATGCAAACCTCTTACCTGGCATCTTAACTGTTAGACCAAATCCCCCTGATCTAGCTTTGCGTGCAAACTAAGATCAGGGTGGGAAGGGCCTTCAAAAACTTAATCAAAAATACATCTGGCCTGGAGCAGTAGCCTAGTGGCTAAAGTCTTCGCCTTGCACATGCCGGGATCCCATATGGGCACTGGTTCTAATCCCAGCAGCCCTGCTGCCCATCCAGCTCCTTGCTTATGGCCTGGGAAAGCAGTAGAGGACGGCCCAATGCCTTGGGATCCTGCACTCTCGTGGGAGACCTGGAAGAAGCTCTGGCTCCTGGCTTCGGATCACCTCAGCTCTGGCCGTTGTGGTCACTTGGGGAGTGAATCAGCAGACAGAAGATCTTCTTCTCTGTCTCTCCTCCTTTCTGTATCTGACTTTCCAATAAAAATAAAATAAATCTTTTAAAAAAAAAGATAATATATCTTATGAAAAAACTGTGTGTGGACTTAAAAACCCTAGCTAAACATATTTATCTTTGGCTACTTTTCCTGAACTTTTGAAGTATCCTCATTTATTTCGTATAAAATAAATATTTACTAAGTGAAGTCTTATAAAGAGTAAAATAAAACTAACCCAGGGCGATGCAGTGTTACTCAAATCTCTGTGGAGGGAAAAGGATGACGCAAAGAGAGATAATTCTGGGAGAAATGAGGGCAAAGGATAGAGAACCCTTTTGCCTGGCTTTGCATTCCTAGAAACTTTCTTGACATTTCCAGGATACAGCCAAACACCTCGCAGTGGCATGGAGGACACAGAACTTCTTCTTCTTCTTCTTCCTTTTTTTTTTTTTTAAGATTTATTTATTTTATTGGAAAGGCAGATGTACAAAGAGGAGGAGAGACAGAGGAAGATCTTCCGTCCAATGATTCACTCCCTTAGTGGCCGCAACAGCTGGTGCTGCGCCGATCCGATGCCAGGAGCCAGGAACTTCTTTCCGGTTCTCTCACGCGGGTGCAGAGTCCCAAGGCTTTGGGCCATCCTCGACTACTTTCCCAGGCCACAAGCAGGGAGCTGGATGGGAAGTGGAGCTGCTGGGATTAGAACCAGTGCCCTTATGGGATCCTGGTGTGTTCAAGGCGACGACCTTAACCATTACGTTATCGTGTCAGGCCCAAGAACTTCTTAACCTTTCATCCTCTCTGTTGTCTTTGAGCCCACCCTGGAAAGAGCAGCAGGTGAAGCCTCTGACAAGGCTCAATGATATATTTTGGTTAAATCTGTCCTAGGAAATGTGTCGTGTAATGTAATGCAAATACATGTTCTTTCCTTAGCTTGACATGAGTTTCTGCTGTTGTCTGTTTTGTGTTGTAATAAAATACTCGAGTGTGGATAGATCCCAAGTGAAGCAGAATCATGTGGCTGGTGGTACAGGTGACTGAGACCCGAAGAGCATGGCGCTGGCACTGGCATCCTGTCAAAGGGCACCCTGATTGCATCACAAAACAGCGAAAAAATACAAAGGATACCAGCTGTGTGCACAAGGGCACAGGAGGGGACATGACCGCAGTACCTGGGAGAGATCTGTGTCACTCCTTTCATACCAAGATGCTCTCAGAAACAAATCCACTTCTTCCAGACCTGAACCACTCTCTGCTGAGGTAACATGAATGCATTCAAGAGGGAGAAGATTTCGTAGTCGAATTGCCTGCCTCTAAGATGAAATTCTGGCACTTGGACCCTTGCGGACCCCACACTCCAACCACATCGGCACCACAGCAACATCTTACTCCCCATGCATATGCATCAGTCTCATGCAATAGATCAAACTCGGTACCTCCATGGGTGATTTTGGGGAAAAGTCTTGAGAAAGTTGATCTGGAATGGATGGAATCTACAGACTGAAGTGAGCGCTAGATTGAAGACTGCAGTGTAGGGAAGTGAAATGGGTCATTGTTGGTTTGTGACCACTTCCAATGCATCAATCCTTTCTTTTTTTTTTTAACTCATTTACTTGAAAAATCTGAGTTACAGAAGCAGAGATGGCAGGGAGTCAGGGGGAGCGGGGAGGGAGAGAGACAGAATCGTTCACCCACCGATTGTTTCCTGCGTGGCTGCCATGGCAGAGCTGGGCTGGGTCAAAGCCAGGGGCTTCATCTGGGTCTTCCATCTGGTTAGCAGGGGCCCAAAACACTTGAGCCTTTCCTGATGCTCCTCCAAGACCATGATCAAGGGAGCTGCATCAGCAGTGAGGCAACGGGGGCATGAAGCAGCACCCATTCGGGGTTCTGGCATTGCACGTGGGATCTCTGCCTGTTGTTCCATTAGAATGGTCACTCTATTGGTATTTTGGCTTAATGAAGATTAAGAGAAAATATCCATACATAATACACAATGCAATGTGTGGCAACAACAAAAATCCAGTAACTATTAAATAAGTCTGTTATACCTGTCTTATATTCATGATCTCATCTGAACTGAAGCTTTGTTTACCGTGCTTTGTGAAATGCCCTGATTGTAGGCCATTGCTTGTAGGCCAATGCCTGATCCTGATTCCCTTTGTTACAGCACAGGTGTGTGTTGGAATCATCATAGTACTGATCATACACAACTACTGGTTCCTCTACATCCCCTATTTGACATGGCTTTACTTTGACTGGCAAACCCCCGAGCAAGGAGGCAGAAGGATCGAATGGGTCAGAAGTTGGAAGGTCTGGAAGTACTTTAGGGACTATTTTCCAATTCATGTGAGTAAAATTGTTTTTGTATTGCTTTCAATAGGGGGAAAAGAGTGGGTATTTGTTTTCAACACTTTGTCCCGTTCAGTGGGCGCATCTCAGTTTGGATTTTGCTATTCTAACAGAGTATCAGAGGCTGGTTAATTTATAAAGAAAGGAAATCTGTCACAGTGCTGAGGCAGGACAATCCAATGTCAACGTGCCAGCAACCAGCAAAGGCCTTCTTGCTGCAATATCCCATAGCATAAGCAGAAGAGGGGACCAAATGTATCCTTTAACAGTAGGGAGCCCACCCCCACAGTAATGAACTTGATCTGCTCATCCTGCCTTCATAGTTGGATTACCTTTCATTAGGACACACCTCCCAATGCTACTGCATCAGATACTGTTTGTAACATAGCACAGGGAGAAGGAAGCCTCAAGTTTGGCCTGAGTTGCTAAATGAACTCTAAGCTAAATTGATAAAATGTAGAAGACTGTGTATGAAGGGCTCTGGGCTTAGAAATTTGGAAACAGCTCCAGAGCAGAGAATTAAAATAAGTCATGCTCTGTTTCCTGGCTCATCATGAATCCTCTTGTTTCTCATTGGAACCTAATCAGGGGATATTTAACTTATTTTTTTATCTCAACATGAATGTGCCCCAGCTCATCAAAACTCAGGGTTTGGATCCAAGTCGCAACTATATATTTGGCTTTCACCCCCATGGAGTTCTTGTGGTTGGAGCCTTTGGAAATTTTTGTACAAATTACTCGGAGTTCAAGGAGCTGTTCCCCGGCTTCACCGCGTATCTTCACGTGCTCCCATTTTGGTTCCGGTGCCCTCTCTTCCGAGAATATCTGATGAGTTGTGGTAAGTGATGGCACGTCACTCTCTTCAAGCTCTGGGCTGGCGCGAGCACACAGAACTTCCCCTCGAAGCCCAGCCGGACACACAGTGTCTTAGAGGAATATGCATGCTTGCCTCTGTCCCTGCTGGCCCCGCACAGGGTCCTGGACGGGAAGTGTGAGCGTCACAGACACTCTGAGGTCAGCATCGCATAGACTGTACCTTTCTTTCTGTCCTATATCAGGTACCTGGCGTGGTACCTGACATTTAGAAATGCAATGAAAGAACAAATGCGTGCATTTTGTTTACTTGGGTGCAGGACAAAAAGTCACAGATCAAACCGAGATAAGTCATACTCCTGGAGTAGTGCTCTACATGTTTTTGTGAATAGAAAGTGCCTTCTGTGTGTCTTGGTGGTGGCATAAACTAAGCATGTTAAGTGAACTTATTCCTCCCAGATTAAACACAGCTTGATTGAAACATCAGTCCATTTTACCCTGCCACTCTGAACCAAAGGAAGACTCTGGTTAATTAAACTGTATTTCTACCAATTCTGAGGATAAACTTAATATTAAATGCTGTAAATATGTTATATAAATGTGTACAGAAGGCTAAGCTGATGTTAATAGTTCTCCTTTCAACTGAAGAGGTTCAATGTATTTGGTTTTCCAACTTGAACTAATTGTTGACTAACCATGATGCAGTAACCTAAGAAGTACCTTACATTTATGAAGGCTCTGTGAGTTATTTATTACCATTTTTGCTTTTCTTGGATATAAAGAGAAGTGAATGTTCCGTTTATGGAATATTTTAATTTCAGGATCAGTAAATGACATTTGGGGACAGAGTTTTCCATAATTTTTCAGATTTTCATTACTTCCTTTTCATTACTCAGGTCACTGCTATGATTATGTGTCTGGCAGAAAAACCACTGAGTAGCAAGGGGCCAGGGGCCACAGCTGGGCATTCAAGTTCTGTTTATTAACTCACAAGCAACTGCTTGCAATCTGGATTAGACAGAGGGTGTGCTAGAGGCAACAATTTACATCCCAAACGCCCAAAAAGTCCTGCATCTGGCCTCTAGAGGGCGCACTAGCTTCCTCAAACTGCCAAAGTCCGGGTGGGAGGGACGAGTCCTCCCTGGTTTGTGTATGTCAGATTTGGGTTTGATAAAAGGAGGAAAATTCAAGAGAAATGTTAAAAATTTCAAAACAGCGTGGAAATATTACAGAAAAGTCTTTGCCACCACAGGTGAGTTGGAGGATTAGAATTGACAGCAGGTGAATCAGATCCATGTACAGGAGGTTTAGGTGGGCTCTTCTCCATGGCCTGTCACAAAGAAACTTGGTGACTCCCAGCACCTGTCTCCATGATCATCGTCATTTACTGTATCTGACGTTTGAGATGAAACTTGTTGACCATCACTGACTTACCACATTATTAAATCCTTCCCTTTGCTATAGCCTATTTTTAAAGATTTTATTTATTTTTATTGGAAAGTCAGGTATACAGACAGGAGGAGAGACAGAGAGGAAGATCTTCCATCCAATGATTCACTCCCCTAGTGGCTGCAACGGCTGGTGCGGTGCCGATCCGAAGCCAGGAGCCAGGAACTTCTTTCCAGGTCTCCCACATGGATGCAGTATCCCAAGGCCCTGGGCCATCCTTGACTGCTTTCCCAGGCCACAAGCAGGGAGCTGGATGGGAAGTGGAGCTGCTGGGATTAGAACTGGCACCCATATCAGGTTCTGGCGCTTGCAAGGTGAGGACTTTAGCCACTAGGTTACTGCTCCGGGCCCTGTCATTATTTTATTTATTATTTATTTTTAATTTATTTGAAAGGTAGATTTACAGAAAGAGAGACTTTTCCATCCATCAGTACACTCCTTAAACAGCCATAATGCCCAGAACCCAGCTGATCTGAAGCTGGGAGCCAAGAGCCTCCTCTGGGTCCCCCATATGGGTACAGGAGCCCTAGGCTTTGAGTCATTCTTAAGGCTGCTTTCCAAGGCCACAGCAGGAAGCTGAATTGAACTGGAGCAGCTGGGACACAAACCAGCACCCATCTGGGACACTGGCACCACTAGGTAGCCTGTTGAACTGGCACACTGACCCCAGCAATACCAACATTTTTAATCAGCCTCTAGAGCGGTAACTGGCATCCAATAGGTGCTTATTTAATAAATACATCTGGATTAGAGAATGAGTGCCTGGTCAGCATGGTGGCTAAGAGGGGAGCACATCTGGGAGACGTTGATGTTTCTAATTTGAGTGACTGGATAGGTGACTTTGTTTACCTCTATAGGTAATGTGGCAAAGGTACCACTTTGAGGGAGAATTTGATGCACTGTGTTTGGAGACATGCAATTCGAGGTGCCTTTGATCTGTCAAGGTAGAAATTCTTTAGGATCATTGAAAATGTAGGCCCAAAAGTTGAAGAGGAATATCTCCCAAGACATGGAATTGGAAGAATTCAACACACACTGGTGACAGTTGAGTCTTTGGCATGTATCAGGTTAGAAGACAGGATAAGGAAGGTGAAACCGCAGTGTCCAGGGGTGAAGTGGCCAGAGGCAAGCTTGGAGAAGATGTGTCTGGAAACCAGGGGGGCTTCTTTTGGGGGGCAGAGATGGTGCCTCTCAGCTCCCACCCCAGACATGCAGAGCAGAGCGGCATGCCTCACTTAAGTCAGTGAAGTTCAGACGAGGCCGGCTCAGGCCCCCACAGTGCAGCACCCTCTGCTCCTTGGAGAGTAGTCGTCCTAAATGATTCTAAATAATCCTGAATCATGCTATGATTCCACAATGATAACAACACGTCGTGAAATTCACATGCCGTTTCCTTTGGAAGAGGAAATGTGCTGGGCTTTATAAAGCGTAACACATTCTGTTACGACTTTAAGAAACTGGACAGACGTCAGAATCGGAGGAAACACACAAGATGTTAAAAAGCAATTATCAGCAAAATGTGGGCCGTTTGCAGTTTCTATTTTTGTCTTTGTTCTGTGTTCTTCCTCCAAGAGTCTATACTTGATAGAAATTTTGTAGTCTTTAGAGCTATTTTCACATGCAAAAGGCCTGATATACAAACTGACCAAGAATATGACTATTTAAAACGGATAATTCATCAAACTCAGATGATACATTTTGGAACTGTGAGGAAATCTGGCAAATGATCTATGTTATTTATCAAGTGTCTGAGTTTTTGAGACCATTATAAATCCTGGTATTCCTGGTGTGATAAACAGAAATCCACATGGGACTCTGAAAACTGGCTGTTACATGTTTGAAGCATCCTAAAACCTCTTGGAGGACACATTTGTGGTTCTAACAAGGCTCTGCCAGGATAATACTTGTGCCCACCACCTACAGCTGTGTAGACGCTGTGCAGAACAACCCCACGCTGGGCAATGCGAACCATTTACTTCCTGTGCAATACGAGTGGAACCTTAATGCTCAGCAGTGCAAAGCCAACCAACTAATGAGTGGTAGACTAGTTAAGATGAAGCAATGTTTTAAACACCTAACACATCACCTACCAAAATGTCAGCGCTTAATAATGAAGATTTGGCTGCGCAAAAACTGTAAACTTGCAACGTGCTCCAAACGTGAGAAGTATAGAGAAAGTATAGAGAAATTTGTGAAATTTTCGTTGTTATTGTAGAATATTGTGATTCATGTTTTAATGTTTAAAGGGAGATAGATGGTCAGTTACATTGTTCTGTTCACGAAGGACCAGTGTCTGTTTCCAAGAAAAGTGTGTCCTACGTGCTGAGCAGGCAGGGAGGTGGGAACATATCGGTCATCGTCCTCGGGGGAGCCGAAGAGTCGCTGGATGCCCACCCTGGGAAATTCACGCTGTTCATTCGCCAACGGAAAGGCTTCATTAAAATTGCTTTGACCCACGGGTAGGTGGATTTTCATTTCGGAGTGACTGGGTTGGGAAAACGAAGACATTATCAAATGAACAAAAAGAAATATTGCAAATTTTCTAGCCCTATAGACAGACACCCTGTAATCAGATCCTATAATAAAATTAGGAGTGGGCATTCCCGGGGAATGAAATTCCCTACAAATGGAGCTCAATGCCACAACATCCAGCAGTTAGATTTAACTTCAACAAAGAGGCCAACATAGAGCAGTAAGAGACAAAATCTTATGCATGCAATGTTGATTTCCAGCCAAACGAACAATGACCAAACCTCCGGTTGAATACGTCCTAGAATCTGCAGAATAAAATCCATCAGTTCCTTGCTGCGTGAGATTCCTCCCCCAAAGGATTTCAGTTATGATGCAGTTTCAATGTGCGGAGCATGAAGTTAGCAATACAGGAATTTGGGATTTTTTTTTTTTAAAGAATTTATTGCAAATGTCGGTTGAGCACAATCAATTATTTCAATCCTTTTTATTTAAAATTCCTGTTCTTCACCTTTGTTACTTGTAGGGCCTATTTAGTCCCTGTGTTTTCTTTTGGTGAAAATGAACTGTTTAAACAAGTTAGCAACCCTGAAGGCTCGTGGCTTCGAAGTGTTCAGGAGAAACTGCAGAAGATCATGGGGTTTGCTTTGCCACTGTTTCACGCCAGAGGAGTTTTCCAGTACAGCTTCGGTATAATACCCTATAGGAAGCCCATCAACACTGTCGGTATGTACATAGAATGGATAAAAACCGTTCCCTTAACAATGTCGATTATTATTGACTGAGATCATACAAAAGAAGTGGCTTGCAAATGATAATCCTGTTGATGCTGTTTGAGCTGCATTTATAGCATGCCTTTTGTTTATGAAATAATAAATATTTTCCATTTGAATAGCAATTGATTACTTTCTGGAACACCACTATTGAATTACAGGTACAATCCAATCATGTTTCTAGGATGAATATTTCTTTGTGCAGAAAATTAGAGCATAGTAATTTCTTGATGAACAGGTTACTTTAGAGTATATTAACACATGAAAACTTCTCCATCGTAGGGGTCTTCATCATGGCCAGTTCATGTAAGCAGCAGTTTCTATAGCAAAAGCATTTTTTGCTGTTGTTGCAACTTGCTATATTAGTGCACATTGTGATATCTAATATTTTTAAAAGTTGCATGTTTGGAAGATTGAGACGCGGAGAGTTTGGTGAACGTCATGTTGATAAAAGGACAGAAGAGAGAATAATTGGCTTCACAGATTGTAAAGAGTCAGAGAGCTAAAAATGAGGAAATATGGAGCTGCAGCAGAATAACCAAAAGTGTGTAATTTGTATGGAGCTGGAAGTCATTTTTCCTATGTGTACTCATTAAGTGAGGGTTTAGTGCAGTCCAAAACACTGTAAGGTCCCTCTCCGTAGGATACGATTTTACTACTGTCGGTTTATAAGAGCTTTCCATTTCACACACAGTCAACTGCTGTATTTCTAATGTTGTATCTAACTTACATGGAATGTTTGAAACCTGTTGTATTAGTTAGTATAGCAAGAATATTGATATTTAGTTTTCAGTTGTATTTTTCAAAATTAACTAGCTACATTCCCTTGATAGAGTGTTACTTAATAACTTTTGGTATCCTAGGTACGAATTTCTATTGTTGATTTTTGGGGGGCAGTATATAAAGGAATGTGAGTTATTATTCTGGGAACTGAAAGTTCAGCTAAGTACTGTCATGAAATAGCTTATAATTGTTGAATGCAAGTATATTTTGTAGTGTTTAAGGATTACAGTTATCACCTGATTGGGCTAAGGGGTTTTTGTTTTGTTTTGGTCAATCAAGTCCTTTGCCATTGGATAGATTCAGAGTTAGCTTCACTGACAAAATAGTAAAATGGTAAGGTCAGATGGAATTATTGAGTATGTGTAATTGGAACAATTTAAAGACTGTTTTCATTACTGCCTTTCCAATGTTTCTCTTACAAAGACTCAGAACGAAGGGCAATTTCTCTAACTACACTTCCACCACAGGCAACTAAGGCAGATCCTAATGTGTGTCCCACTATCATTTGTAAGATTTAAAAGTCAGGTTTATGCATGTGCATTTTTCAAAGATGCAGCTGTCATGATCTTAAGGTTGGTTTAGCCGTAGGAGTCACGTGTGGTTGCCCAGCCCCATTTGTGAAGCAAAATGATGTGTATTTAAGGGTTTTTGTTTACTTGAAATCACATGAGGCAAGAATATTCGGAGCTATACAGCAAAGTAAAGCTATGTTGCAGTCAGATGTCACAAGAGAACAAACCCCAAGCGATACTGAAACACTGTTCGGAGCCCTGAACAATTTCTCTTTTGAAGCACTTGAAACCTCAAGTTCTTTGATGGCTTTGGGTTCCCCCTCTCCCACCCTAGGAAGGACTCAGCACCTTCCAGAATAGCAGGTTATTTTGCAGCCCCTCTGCTCTCTCCTTAACTACAACTTCGTTGAAGTCACTGACAGCATTAGTCTGGTTCCCCGTAAGTTATCACTTCAGCTGTCACTCAGCATTCAGAGGAGCCCAGGGTCTACATTCCGTCTGCTGTTTCCCTCACATTCAGAGCTTTCACTCTTCAACAGTGAACTCAACCAGAATTGTCACGTACATGTCTGCACACCACTTTTCTAGACCCGACATTTGCTATGTTTTTGTGACAGCTTTTTCCTCTTCTCTCTTGTTCTCTTGCTCTTTGTCTCTCTGCATCGCTCCATCTGTCCTTCCCTCCCTCCATCTCACTCTCTCTGGCTCTCTTGGTGCCCGTCTTCTGTGTGTGTGTGTGTGTGTGTGTGTGTAATAAACACACTTCTATGTTATCTCAGAAGTGTTCGGTGAGTGCACACATCATGGTCTTTGGTGATTACAAAAGTCTGATTACTTTTGTATATGTATCTTAAGAGGTGTTTCGTTCGGCAATGTCAGTACCGTTAAGGAAAAGTAACACTGATGGCTGTGATGTAGCAGAGAAGAAACCAGTCAGGACGTCCACATCCTGTGTCAAGAGAGCCTGGGATCAAGTCCCAGCTTCACTTGCAAGGCCAGCTTCCTGCTAGTCACGTCCTGGGAGGCAGCAGGTGCTTAGCCACCTGGCCTGCAGGTGGGAGACAAACGCTGAGTTCTCCTGGCTGTGGGTTTGGCCCCGATCCTGAATGTGACCCTGAATGTGTTTGCTTCACTTTGATTCTGATAGCAGCTGAGAAATACAAAACAAAACAAAAAGCAGTGCCATCAAAAGATTCTTTCCATAAGTCGTCTGCCATGAGACTGACAGCAGATTTGTACTCATGTTAAATAAGCATTGATCACACCTCTGCAGGGTGTGCGGAAGGAGCTCCTGTGGCTTGTGGTCTCTGGGTGGCTTTAATGTTTCATTCATGTTCCCTAAGCCTCGGCTTTATGAACCACAAAAGAGAAGCTAAGTGTAATTGTTTTATCTTCTCTCATGTTATTCTGAGGATTAAGTTTCCTGATCCGTGGGAGAGCCTGTTGTCCCAGGTGCTGGGATGATGCGGGTCGGCCCACAGAGCTGGAGCCTTCCTGCCTAGCTGCTTGGGAGCTTTTTTCTCCATCCAAAATATTAGTCTAAATAAGATCATGGGCACATAATCAGGCAAACGCAGATTATAGGACATTGTACCAAACAACTGCCTGGACTCTAAAAACAACCCACAATGTCGTCAAAGACAAAAATGAGGTTGAATTCAGAGACGCACAGCTACTGTAGACTGAGGAAAAACATAAATGGAATTATTGAGATAATTGATCCAGTTTCAATGTGCATTGAGCTCACAATAATACTCTGTAGAAGTTAGTATCACAATGGTGTCGTCACACAGGATGCTGTTTTTGGGCAATGTGAAAATATTTAGGGATGATTCGCTTGATCGAATCTTTGCATAACTTAATTTAAAATGGTTCTGCGGAAGTATGATTAATAATGGATATGCTGGGCTAGCAAACTAATCCTGGCTCAACAAACTGACCCTCCACTTGGTAGAGCCAGCATCCCATACGGGTGCAGATTCCAGTCCCTTTGGTCCGTTTCAGACACAGCTCTCTGCTTACGGCGTGGGAAAGTAGTGGAGGATGTGGGAGACCTGGGGGAGGTGCCTGTTTCCTGGCTGTGGATTGGCTCGGCTCCAGCTGTTGCAGAGATTTGGGAAATGAACCAGTGGCTGGAAGATCTCTCTTTCTCTTTCTCTCTCCCTCTCTCTTTGTCTCTTCTCTCTATAAGTCTACCTTGATAAATGAAAAAAAGAAGAAATGAACATGCTATATGTGCATATATACAAAATGTTAAGAGATTGATGAGCCTTGAAGTGGGCATGCAAATGCTCATTGCCTTGCTCTGTCTAAATATGAAGTTTTGAAAAAAAAAATTTAATTTGAGAGACAGTGAGAGTGAGTGAGATAAGAAAAAATGCCCATCCACCAGCTCACTCCCAAATGCCTGTAACAAATGGAGCTGCACCAAGACAAAGCTGACAGCGAGGAACCCAATCCAGATCTCCCCCCTAGAGCCAGGGACCTGACTGCCAGTGCCTCCACCTGCTGCTCCCGTGGAGGAAGTCAGGATGGAGACTGGAACTGAGACTGGAACCCAGGCACTCTGACGTGGAGTATGGCATCCCAAGGACAGCTCGACTGCTAAGCACATCAAGGCTGCTCTCCTGATGCCTTTGAAATTTAAAAAGCAGGGAAAGGGGATTGATTTTATTTAGATAAAACTGACTTTAAACCACAAGAGATCAAAGTTGTCCATTATATATATATATATATTTTAAGATTTATTTATTTTTATTGGAAAAGCAGATATACAGAGAAAGGGAGAGACAGAGAGGAAGATCCGTCCACTGATTCACTCCCCAAGCAGGCACAATGGCCGGTGCTTTGCCAATCCAAATCCAGGAGCCTCTTTCAGATCTCCACATGGGTGCAGGGTCCCAAGACCTTGGGCCGTCCTCAACTGCCTTCCCAGGCCACAAGCAGGGAGCTGGATGAGCTGCTGGGATTAGAACTGGCACCTATATAGGGTGCTGGTGCTTGCAAAGCGAGGGCTTTAGCCACTAGGCTACCACACTGGGCCTGTTATATTTTAAGTCATTGTTTCCTGTTGGGGAAAAAAACAGACTAAGGAATGTTTGGAAATTATGAAAAAAGAAGGGAGACTTAATTCGAGTTTTAATTGTAAAATTAAAGAGATTTTGAAATGATAATCATGTTAAGGGAATTAGGACAGTGTTGTAGGGGAGACAAAATTCTACTTCTGTGATCTCAAAGTCTCTGGCGAGACCTGAGCCTTTCCATTGCCTGGACTCAGGAGCCTCAGGAAAACACACTGGGTGTCCCAGTTCATGGAGGGAGCCTCCACGGCCTGGCTCAGTCCCACCTGCTGAGGCACTTGGGGGAGTGAAGCAGCGGATGCGTAATCTGTCTTTCTCTCTGTGTGGCTGTCTCACTCTCTGCCTTCCACACAATCAGATGGTGCGGCCTAAGAGTCTGTATGCCACGTGAGACAAGGAAAGGCAGGTGTGGACAAGAGAATTACGTGGGGAGAGTAAGGGAGGGTCAGTGAGTTCAAGGGCTGAAGTGGCTTCTCTCAGCTTGACTGTCCTTTTCTGGCTTTGCTAAGAATGTTTCTTCCCGGGACAGAGAGGGCGTCTTCTATATAGGAGTTACACATTCTGTTTCAGGAAGGAGAGAGAATTTAGAATGCCCTTCTTGCATTGCAAAAGGACCCCCTATGGCATCTTTTAAGCTCAACCTGCGACTGTTGGCAGTTTTGGGGCAGCTCCATGCAAGCAGCACTTCAGCACATGGTACCAGCACTCCATGGATGTTCATGAGTGTGTGTGTAATTCTATATGGCGTACAGGTGCAACACACACACTGAACCCTGGGTATCTTTTGAGTCTTCCCTTGGGTTTCATCTGGGTCCAGTGGGTCTGCTCTTCACAAACTCGCGCAGCCACGTGCTGCTGTGTGTGGGAAATCCTGAGAATGAAGGATCTGAGTGGAGAAGCCGTGGCCTCTGGTGCCACGGAGACACCATATACAGCGGAGTCATTTTTGTTCTGAAAGGTCTACTGTTTGCCTCCATGAAAAGAAATGAATACCCGTTTCCAAGCTCTTTCTTTCCAGGTATCCCAGGGCTCATGAAAGCAGCTCTTCCCTCATCTGAACTGGGGTGACTGCTATGTAAGGCAATAAACACATCACTGATCTGGAACTTTTGGGTGGAGTGGAAAAATAGAACAGTGGAGCACAGCAGCTATAAAAAGCAGCAAAGCATAAACAAAGGCTCTGACTCCTGACTGTGCTGCAAGTGGGTGCTGGCTGATTTTTTCCAGGACAAGGCGTTTTACTAAGGCAGTGTTATGCAGCTGCCTTTTTCCCCTTTGTGTTCTAAAATGAGTATTTTTGCAGCAGTTTGAAGGGTCCGGGGACCTTTTCAACTACTTCCAATTTGCAGTAAGTAGGTACAGAACAATTTCAGATGGCTCTTTTTGCCTCATCCTGGAAGCCCTGGAAGTGGGTACGGCAGGAATGCTGCTAGCCTGGCTGAATGAATGAGGACCTTGAATTTTACTGATGGGTACAGCTGGAATGCGATGGAGCTTGTAGCACACCGGTCTGTGGTGTGAACTGAGGGCTCAGGGCTAGGCTGCGGGAGGCCTGGGGCTGGGCGCAGGGCTAGGCTGCGGCAGGCCTGGGATTGGAAAGGAGAGGGACCACAGTCCTGATCGGACCCTCCTCTGGTGGTGCAGCATGAGGAATGTGCCTGCCTCAGCATCCTTAGCCCACAGCTTTTGTTAAAAAGCCATTTCTCAACTTCCCCATTTCTTTCTTTCTTTTTTTTTTAAATGTATTTATTTATTTATTATCAGAAAGGCCAATTTACAGAGAAATGAGAAATGAGAGAAAGATTTTCCATCTACTGGTTCATTCCCCAGATGGCCACAGTGGCCACTGCTGAGCCGATCCAAAGCCAGAAGCCAGGAGTTTGTTCTGGGTGTCTCATGCGGGTGCAAGACCCAAGGACTTGGGCCATCTTCTGCTGCCTTCCCAGGCCACGAAAGGGAGCTGGAGCGGAAATGGAGTAGTCAGGCCGTGAACTAGTGCCTACATGGAATCCCGGTGGGGATTTAGCCGCTGAATCATCGCACCAGGCTCAGTTTGACATTTCTGATACTTGCTCTTCAGGCTCACAGCATTTTGTCTTGACTTACTCATTTGCTTTTCTATGGCCCATTATTCTCAATGTTTAAAAGACAGTGTGGCTGCTTTGTTAGAGGGTTCCAACGATTCAGTTTAATGACATCTAGCGGACCCTTTGTAAATAAGCGTGTCATATCAAATCTAAATGCAGTGTAGCCTCATGACGGCTGTATTGGACCTGAGCTTACAGCTGGAGCGTGTTATCCCATGCTGAGAACCGAGGGGCCTGCAACCTTACTTCTTCAAGGTAGGCTTCCTTGAGTTCTCAAGTAGAAGTGTGTTCAGGGTGAGGGATCATACGTGTCTACGTTTCTCTCCCCTCTGCTTATGGAGTGTCCCGAACTCCAAAGCTCCATGTTAATGACTGGATCCCATCCTGGTGACTTCTCCAAAGCCTCTACTCACCTCGGGGTGCAGACTCAGCTGTCACCGTGGAATTTCAGCACCTGACGCCTTCAACACCCAAGTGCCAGGTCTGAGCACTCTACAGAACCATCTGGAACGTAAGAAAGCTGCTAGCAATCAGAGACCAGGCAGGAAGACCAGGACGCCTCCCGAGGAAGGAGGTCCACTCCTTCCTGAGGCCTCTGGAGACAGCAGACTCCTGCTTAGATCCATGTCTCTAGTTCAGTCCCAGCCTGAGTGTTTACACAGACCTGGCTCAAATATTCTCCTTGAGAAAGCAGAAACTACTTATGTAACCCCACGGATTTGGAGATCTAGCCTTTTATCACATGCATGTGAAAATTAAGGCCAGAAAGAAAGCTACCTGACCAGTGCACCTGCTGTGGCGCGCGCACTAGACTACGTCGCTGTGTGAGCGTCTGAGTGCCGTATGTCTGACCACAACCCACAGTGGCAAGGTTATGTTTCTAGTTCTTCGTGTTGATGACTCCCGTGTATAAACTGCCATCCAGGCTCCCAAGGAAAAGCATCTGCATGAATAATTAGCAGTGTGAGAATCCTCATGCTGCAGTAAAGAGGCGCGTGTACGCTCGTGCACTGCTCCTCCGCATCTCCTCGTCTTCCGTACTGGTGTGATTTAGTATTTCCTTCCTTCTTTATGACTTAATGTTTGTTCTGCTTTCTGTGAACGCCATTTCTAATTGATGTGGGGCTGGTAGGTGTCACACAGTAATTCAGGAACGGACATAGAAGTCCTGTCTACAGCTAGTTCCTTATCCTAGCCCAGAGGGTCAAAGGTCAGAAGTATTTTGCTGGGGGGCAGGGGGTGGCAGTAGGTGGACTCTGTAATATAACAAGACCACCAGCAGGGGGTGCCGTGAGGGTACGAGCCAAAGCCTTGGGATTTGTTTTTATCTTGTTAAATGTATTTTTTATTGGAAAAGCAGATATAGAGAGAAAAGGGAGAGACAGAGCTTATATCCATTGATTCACTACCCAAGTGGCTTCAACGGCCGGAGCTAGGCTGATGCAAAGCCAGGAGCTAGGAGCTCTTCAAGGGTCTCCCATACAGGTGCAGGGTCCCAAGGCTTTGGGCCGTCCTTGACTGCTTTCCCAGGTCACAAGCAGGGAGCTGGAGGGAAAGCGAGGGTGTGGGGATTAGAACCGGCGCCCATATGGGATCCTGGTGGGGATACTAAGCAAGGACTTTAGTTACTATGCTGTCCTGCCGGACCCACCTTATATGGTTTTGTGTTCTCTTAAAAAGCTGAGACAGTGAAATACTGTTTATTGCGTAAACACCTCTTAAAATATGTAAACTTGCCAGATTTATTTTTAATAAATTACTATATTGGTAATGTGTCTCCTACAAATGCTTTCTCCTTAGTAGAAAATACAGTTAAAACAGAGAGAAAGTGATGGATTCCCCGTCTCCACCTCCTTCTTTAGTGAAAGCTATTTCTCTTTCAATATTTTTATGCAAAAGACTCTATGCACCTATAAATATAAATATTTCTTGTACCTAGGATCATGCCAAGTTATTCTACTTTTCCCCCTTAATACATTTTAATACAATAATACAACATGCTTAATACAAGAGCATGTGCTCATCTTCACATGTTTTTTATTTTATGAAAAAGATCAATGAACATTGCATGCCTTCTTATTTTTTCGACTGAGACTTACAGATTATCACAAGGAATCGTTGTAATTGGGCATTCTCCAATACAGATACCGCATTGCAAAACCTATCAGTGCATTCATTGTTCAGCAGGACAGCGAGGAGAGGAGGGATGCTCGTGGCTCACAGATTCAGCTGGTCCTAACGAGGGCGCTGTGCCAGGGCCAGCGTGCCAGGGACGTGACCACAGAGCGGTGCGCTCTCGGCTCGCAGCCGCAGTCAGCGCAGGAACGCCTTTGACTCCAAGGCAAAACCACAGGGTATCACACGGCAGTATCTGCTGAGAAGGCAAGCTCCTCATTGGTTAAGAAGAGGGATGGGGTGACCGCCGCAGGCGGCCAGTGAAGTGAGAAAAAGGATTGGGAGTCAGCAGGCTGGAAGGATTCTGATTTTGTGATTGGCAGTCGGTCGGAGGCAGAAGCCCGCGGTGCGCTCCTCGCTCCTCCCGGTTCCCGTGCCTGACGCGTTCTCTGTTTTTCCAGTTGGCCGCCCAATCCCTGTTGCTCAGACTCCACACCCGACCTCGGAGCAGATCGAGCAACTGCATCAGACCTACATGGAGGAACTAAGAAAACTATTCGACGAGCACAAAGGAAAGTACGGCATCCCAGAGCATGAAACTCTGGTTTTCAAATGATTGTCATTCTCTAAAGGCTCAAATGATGAGGGAACATCGCAGTGATAGCAAAGCCATTTTAAATAACTTTTTCTCTTTTGACTATGAAATCAAATTACCTGGAAAGTATTATTTAAGGTGACAGATGTTGTTGTTTTCTCAGAAAATAAAAAATATATATGATAGATGAATGTAGGGTAAGAATGGAGATAACCTTAGAACTGTTAATAATATCCCTTGTTTAAAAGGTATAAATCATTTTATAGGTTATAAACAGGTTCAGATTTACTCACCGGGTGCAAAAAAAAAAAAAATGACATCTTCAAAAAGTAATTAGACCCTTTCAGTAGGCGTAGGAATCATTGTACCTAATGTTTTCACCCAGTGTGACAGCTGTGGTTTAGCACAGCTGGGACATGCAGAAGATGGGCCACATAATTTGCACATAGAGCTGGAGTGAGGGGACTCTTGGTTTGTTTGGACCAGGTGCAACAGAGGGAATAATTCAGCCCTTTCGCCCATGTCAACCAACGCATTTTTATACAATAGTGTAGAATGTTTGTGTCATCTTGAAAGCAGAACGAGTCTGTCACGTGGAAATCCACGTGAGCCAAAGCCCGTCTGTTCATTTCTCCCCGTGCTTAGAGAGGCATCCTTCTGATACAGCAAGGAAGCCCACGGCAAGACTGAGCTTTGCAGGTGCTTTAGACGGTGGAAATTCCAAAAGGTTTTCATGGCAACACAAATGGTTTCCATTTCCTTCCCAAATGGCCTTTGCGTTGTAAGCCAGGCCCTGAAGCAGAGTTGTTCTGGGGAGATGTGTCCAATTCCCGGTGAGCTGGGCTTGAGTCTCCTCTGAAGCTGAATGAGCGGAGCCTTGTCCTTGCTTCTGCTGATGTCTCCACGGAGTTGGAGCTAAAGGGTCCACGGAACTCAGGAAGTACGTACCTGATTAATGAGTGTGTTCAAGAATATGCCAGATTTTGCCATAACATGAGGAATTTTAAAGCTGCTAGAATGAAATGTAAGACCTGCCTTAAGAAGGAGGTCGTTTGCTCCATGTGGCTGTCCTGGTGTCAGCTGTGCTGCAGACTGGCTCCCAGCAGGCAAGCTGGAGAGCACCCGGTGCTAGGAACTAGTCGGGCAGGAAGCACACCTGGTTTCCAGAGGATCTCCAGGGCTCGTTGCTCGTTTCTGTGCCTCCTCTGTCCCAGGTATTTGTGGACAGTGTCACAGCTTGTTGGCAATATGTCTAATGTTTAAGCATAAAAACTGGGGCTGGAGCCTGGCTTGAGTAGAGCAACAGCTCTACAAAATCATGCTGGGCAAGACCTTGAGTAAGACTACGGGTTCCATGTGAGAAAGTTCAGCTTTCTGTATTGTTCTGTATGAAGGTGTTGGGCCTAAATCCCTTTGATGGCACACTAACTGAGCAATCCAGAACCTGGGTTATTTTGTTTTGTTTTATTTGTTTTTGGTCGAAATGAGACTCTATGTTATTTCAAACCCCATAGATTTCATTCCCTCAGAGAAGTTTATGCTTGAACTTTCATGACTTTGTAGAGATGAATTTCAATGTCATTATTGGTAATGACTGGCCAAGATCAGCTGAATTGTCTGGCAAGTGATTAAATGTACATGTTTAGTAAAGCAAGAAGACTGAAAAAAAAAAGGAGAAAGAGAAAATTTTCACTCATAAATTATCTGGATTTTACCATTAGGAATTAAAAAATCTAATTAGGAATTATTTACCTTTAGGAATTTTAAAAAATCCTAGCAGATGGCATACATGAAATGAGATTTTTTTGGTATAGTTTATGGGAGAAGAAAGATGATCTCAGCTTGTTTTGGGGGTCTTCAAAGGCCTTGATCCAGCCACACCAGAAATATTTTCTTAGACCCAAGTCATGCTTGCAAATCCCAAAAAATTTTGCAGATTCGAAATGAATTCTTTGATACCAAGTTTGGCTTCCCACTTATGTGTGGCATAGAGGGATTTGTCAGGGATCTCCCCTATTACCAAGAATCCCGTCTAGTATGGAATTGTGTCGCTGTCCTGCAGCGGTGGGCTTGGTGCACAGAGCCGATAATAACACGCGTAGACCCTGACTGATGGTCAAAGCCAAAGTTTATTCATGGCATCAGGCTTTAAAGACTGAGGGTCATATGGGATAAGGGAGGAGGTATTGAGCTTATCCACAAAACCCTTTTGTTTTGTATGTCCCACCAAGTGTTCTTATTTACATGCTGTCCACTCAGCTGTTCTCATACAAATGATACCCATTTAGTTATATGAATGGTACACACTCAGTTATTCTCATACAAGTGATGCCCAGGCAGTTGTACAAAAGGTATCCATTCGGTTGTTCTCATACAGAGGACATCCAATCAGTCACACAAATGGCATCCATCCAGTTGTTCTCATACAAATATTATCCTATCAATTGTAATCCTGTGCTCCTTGACCTTTTAGGGTCACAAGGTCCTTCTACAGAATTGCATGTAAATTTTAAACTACAAATCAAAACAATAACAATGCCAAAACTATCTCTAGAGCCACGTGGGAGAAAGTGGACCCAGTGCCTTGGCAAAATGTGCATGTATGTTACGTAACTTAAAACATTTCTTTCCCTTGCACGCCTGGTATAGACTGAGTCATTGTCTTGCAGCTACAAGTTTATGAAATTGCTGATAACCAGGTAAATCTGGTTACGCTCAGACTGAAGGCTAACTCTTCAGATATGTGTAAGAGCTGGCCAGCGTGGCCTTTTTACACCTGGAAACCACAGGAAGGGGTGCTAGAGGCTGTGTGTGAGTCCTTTGCTGCTGCTTGGGAGGAGTTGACATGGCTGTCCTGCAGAGCTGCTGGGTGAGATCTCACCCCTGTCATGAGAAGCATAGAGGCGGCACCTAGCCACACCCCTGTGACTTGACATCTGTCCCATACTACCTCGCTGATGCAGACTGCCAGCTCCATGCTCAATGAGAGACAGTGTATTAGTTCTGTTTTCCTCTGGCAAGAAACACTTGATGGAATTTGTTGAATTGCTCAATAACTTCCCTCACCCCCAAACAGCCCAACAAGGGATGATTCTCTTGTTTGTGTTGTTTAATCAAAGTGACGACATGTCACTTTTTTTGGCAATGGAGGAATTATGACACATAGAATTTGTAGATCTTTCCACTTCTAAACCAGTTTCTCTGGTTTTTCCAGGATGCAGATACAGAAGCAGTTCTTCCTCTAGAAGGATTTCTCTAGTACTTCATATGTTGGTCATTGTAATTTATCCTTCCAAACACCTGTGCCTTTGTGCCTTAATCTCTCGTAATGACAAAGAGAATGTTTATCGCAACCTACAGTTAACCTGGAGATGATGAGTTCTTTAACAGAAGAACCTGTGTCTTGTTTGCATCTGGGTCCCAACCCCACAGACCAGGCCCGACACAGACTCTGTGAATACCGGTGGCACCAAACCGGAAAACAACAAATTTGGTATTGTGTCAAAGAAGTCAAGTCTTAAGCCAAAAGCTATTTAACAACCTGAGTTCCTTCTGCACATTCCTTCTGTATAGTGGTTGGACCCTACTGAGGTTTGGTAAAGATTAGAAGCTACTCTCTCTCTTTTCCAAAGTTGTTAGATTCAGATTAAGAATTATGTTAAGTTGTTTTGGTCTCCCCATGTTCCCAGGGACTACCTAGCTGTCCTGCAAACCATTTCCAGGCTAACTGGGAACATAGCTCTTCCTGGTTAGATTCCAGGCTCTGTAGTGCAGACATGCAGTGATGCTGGGAGAATCTAACTGCCCTGCTCCTTTCCAGTCTCTGAGCTTCTGTCCCACACAGACTTTAGCCTCTGGCTTCCAGTCACTGATTGGAGGGTCCTGACTCAATTCCTTCCGACATAAGCAGAGGTAGGAGTGAGTGTTGCCCATGGCACCTTCTGCCTCTGCCCTTGCCCGCTTTTATCTGTCATGGTAATAACATTTCTTTGGGAGTGTTTCACCGGGTAATTGTCTTTTCCTCTGCCACCCCCTCACTTCCCTCTATCCCTGCAGAAGTTCAGAAATCATCTTCTCACTTTCTTCGTGTACATGGGACACAGGTTGACACTGCAGTGTCTCCAGGACCACAGTTCCCTTTTGTTGTGCGATTCTAAGAAGTGAATTCAGTAAATAAGAGAAATGTAGTTTAAGAACCCGCTTCCTTTATAACATTCAAAAAGGTTATTACATTTATAGGAGGCTGTGAATTTATATATTTTCTATATGGTACATGTTGCTGTTGTATTTTTTTAAACTTCTCCATTTTAAAAAGTTTTGACCAATAAATGTGCTTTTCTGCCCAGAGTGATAAATGAGTTTGTGTGTGTTTGTGTGTATTTTGTTTTTCAACTTGGAGGGGGATGCTTTCCTTCCCCCAGCCCCTTGTAAGGTTGAAATAGTTTAGAGTTGGCCTGAAAATTGTAGCAAAGTCAGGAGTATTTGCAAATTCTCATAATGAAGAGTCAGTGCTTTAAATCCTCTTGACAGGGACCCGTGATGCAGAGGCAGGAGTACTGAAAACTTCAGGCGGGATTGAACCTGGAATAGGGACAGTAAGAGGAAGCCGAACGAGAGCCTGTGTGAGCCAGACACGCTCGGTCTTGGAACACTTGTAGGAACACGTGTGGCTGACAGGTGAAGCTGGTGCTGCTGATGAGCGCGCCTGATGTTAGTGACGGTTCACAATGCTGTCAGTATACTAAAAACCTGCACCTCACCATTGCTTACGGTTGGGTGTTAGAGTATGTGAATTATATCTCAAAACTTCTATAACAATCAAGTCAATCATTTCATTACCAAAATGATGGTAGAAAATCAAAATCTTTTAATTTTAGAACACGTCAGGATAGGTGTAAGGAGTTATTAGAATACCCCACCCTGGGTCCAGCGCCATTTCCTCTTCCTCACAGCTTACGGAATTCACGCCAGACTAGCCGTCCACCAATCAGATGTAACCTGGCATTCCACCTGAGAATCCCACCCCCAATCTTCCAGCCCCTTCCCCAACTCTGCCCACTTACCAATCATTCTTAGGCAATCACCTCTGACAGGCTCAGGCACCAATCCCCTGGGGCCTGCCTTCAATCCCCCCCCAATTCCTGCCCCCAAACCGTGCAGGCTCACCTGAGTGACAAAAAGACCCCCAGGTGGGCTCTGTCTCTCTTTTTTCCTTCTGTCTCCCCCATCCACCTCTTCTTCCCCTTTCCCCCTTGCCTGCCCACCACCCTGTCCCGTTCCTGTCCCGCTGGAATAAACCTCCTGAGATACCTCGTTGCGTCTGGTGTTTTCAGCTCACCGTTGCAGGAATTAGGTGCGTGTAATAATATCCTAATAATATTGTAATAACTAGAACTTTAGCTGTTTTAAAATAACTAACAGTAGGCATTTAGCCTTGATGTCTGAGGTCCCTGTCAGAGTACCTAGGTCTAATATCTCACTGTAACTTCTGTTCATGGAGATCCAGAGAGGCAACAATGATCTCAAAAACTAGAGAAGCCTGGACTGAGTTCTCAGCCAGCCTGGTCCAACCTGATGGACCAGCAGCTAGGAGTGTTGTCTGTCCATCTAGCTCTCTGCTTCTCAAATAAATAAATACAAAATTTAAAATGTGTCAAAAATGAAATTCATTTTAGAAGCCAGCACTTCGTATGCCAAACCATGTGCCTTGATGTCTGAAACCTACTAAGTGTTTTTTGGAGTCCATCACCCATTTTTACTGGCCAGAGCATTTTACTGACTAAAGAACATTTGTTCTTATTGTAAGTACTCTTTGACTTTAATGTTTTTAAAACAGATTTAATTAATTATTTGGAAGAGATAGAACACTTCACTCACTGGTTAACTACCTAAGTGGCTGCAAAAGTTAGGACTGGGCCAGTCCAAAGCCAGAATCCAAGAATTCCACCCCGGTCTCCTGTGGGGAGCCGTGTGCCAGGAGATGACCCCATGTGTCTGATAGGTGGTCACAAGATGGCGGCTGGTTGAGGGCCAGGAGGTGGGGTTGGTCCCGCCAGTAGGCAAACAGGAAGTCACGGGGATAGGCTGATGCCCCTGCTGCGATTATGTTATTGCTACTGGCCTATCAGGTAGCGCCCAGTGGACCCACGGGGAGAAGTGATTGGTGGAGAGCTGTATATAAGCAGACTGCTTTCGGCAATATACGTTTTTCGTTCGCCTTTCCGTTTCGTTCGCTCCTTTTTCGGTTCGGCTTTTCGCTCGTTCATTCGTTTGTTCCTCCGTGTGTTTGTGTGTGTGTTCGTTGTGTGTTCCTGTTGCAGTGGCGGTTCTTATTTTTCCAGACCCTCGAAAGTTTTAGTGTCGCTGCTGGACGGCGACAGTCTCCCACACGAGTAGCAAGACTTCAAGAACTTGACCATCTTTGTGTGTGTGTATGTGTTTTAAATTTTCTTTTTTCTATTTCTTTTTTAAAAATAGTTTTTAAATAGTCTTACTTAGTTGATTAGGGTATGAAGGGTCAAGGGTTACAGGAAAGTGGGTAAGACCATTGTTTCCACACTAATTTTTTTTTCTGTTTCTGGGGTCAGAGGAGAAACAAAAGGAGAAGCCCCATCCAGCCTCCCATCCATCCCAAGTCCCCAACGTGGGGCATGCTCTGAGGGTCCTGCTCAAGCAGTTTTGATAGTTCAACAGTTCTGAATTGCTGCCAATCTCGCTGCTCCAAGCACAATGAAATCTCTTCAGAATCCACTGGCTGACATAGTCTCTTCATGGTTGGGGTTCTGAGATCAGCAGTTCAGTTGGAGGAATCTCCAAAGAAACTTCATTTGAGGTGATCCCAGACCTGATTCTTGTATGTGCTTGCCAGTACAGGGTCCAGCACCGTCCACTTGCCCATCTTTTGCTGCCTTACCAGCTGCATGAACAGCAACCTGGATCAGAGTGGGCCAGGATTAAAAGCAGGACTCCCCATTGGGATGCCAGCATCACAGATGGGGGCTTAACCCACTGCATCACAACACTGAAACTTCTTTTTTTTTTTTTAATAGAATGTATCTTAAGAAAAAAAGATTTATTTTTATTGGAAAGGCAGATAAATAGATAGGAGGAGAGAGAGAGAGGAAGATCTTCCATCTGTTAATTCACTCCCCAAGTAGCCACAACAGCCAGAGCTGCACCAATCCGAAGTTAGGAGCCCAGAGCCTCTGGACTTTGACATGGGTGCTGGATCTCAAGGCTTCGGGCTGTCCTTGAGTGCTTTCCCAGACCATAAGCAGGGAGCTGGATGGGAAGCAGGGCTGCCAGGATTAGAACTTGTGCCCATATGGGACCCGGTGCATTCAAGGTGAAGACTTTATGTGCTAGGTTACTGCTCCGGACCCAACACTGAAACTTTGTTTAAATTAGCTTATTAACTCCACAACCTACTAAATAATCATTGCCATATAAGATAGGCAACACTTGTCAGCTACCTGCAATATGCCATATAGAGTTAAATTCTTTTACTATATTATGGCAGTTAATTTTTAAAATATCCCCATCTCGTAGGTGTTATTTTTATCTTATAGGAAGTTGGGGCTCAGTAAGGTATAGAACTGTGGCCGGATGGTGGGAGGTGCAACTGAGAAAAGGTGCCACACCTCTAAGCTGAGCCTGTTCTCTGTGGCTCACCCTGAGCAAACACATGCCAGTGAGCAAGCACACAGCACAGGGTCGGCAAACACACCATTCACCGAGGAACTGATGGGGCTGCTGTCTCTAGCTGGGACTGTGTCTATAGCTGCTTCTGACCTACCCTGGCTTCAGACCCAGCAGTCCCCGTGGCCACCCTCAGCACACAAGACAGCATTGAGGACCCTGTATGTGCTGACGATATGTTATGTTCGCCACTAAACAGCACACATTACCTTCCCCAACAGATGAGTATTTGTCGAACAGATTTAAAGATGGGAGAGGACAATCTGTTTGACTCAATGTCTTGCCATTTTTGGTGTGTGTGGCTGTGACTACATAGAACATTAACTCAGGAACAATCGCTTTCCAAACTATTTTGAGATTCATTTTACTTCTCCCATGTTTACAGCTTCTGTGTGTGTCTCTAAGAATCTTTTGATGTTTTTCTCCGTAAGATGTTTGCCACATGTTCTAAATTTAAGAAAAAAAAAAATGTTTGCAGTTGACAGCTCCTTCCCTGCTTTCTCCAGCTTTC